CTATTCAGAGGCACCTCAGAAGAAAGGCCTGGTGATCTCCTTCTGAAAACTCAGCCGTTGAAAACTCAGCGGGGCACAGTTCTACTCTGACACACATGGGGGCGCCATGAATCACAGTCGACTCGGTAACTGGTTATACAAGTCAAGTCAGGGGCTAGGTCATTCCGGTTAAGGCTGTAGGGAAGTGTGCTGCATTTTACAAAAATTTCCATCCAAATTGTTCTTTTTTTAAAATGATGCTTAAAGGAAAAATTCTCATTTATTTGGAAAAGTTGGCTCCCCAAAGGAAGGTTTCATTCAGATAGCTAAAATTTCCTAATCCTAGATCCCCAGGGGGACGTCGCCAATATGTCAGGTAGCCCATTACGTCAGTAATGGCTTTACAGTCCGTAACCAGGTGTCCGAGTCTGTTTGAATGCGCAAATTAATGCACAGTTACACGCTGGCGGGCGGGGCGAGGGCGACTCTTCCCCTTCCCGACTGGTTTTTGTGCATTTGTTTTGCTTTAGTTGCTGTGGTTCACTTAACTCCCCGGCTACCCTGACGGTTCCCATGGAAACTATCACCTCTTCCAGGGCAGGAAAACCCCAAAACCAAAAACCCCAAGCCCGTTCCCCGCCAAGCCAATTCTAACTCATAGTGACCCTACAGAGCAGAAGTGCCCCACAGAATTTCCAAGGCTGTAATCTTTATGGAAGCGGCTGCACATCTTTCTCCCCGAGAGGCTGGCAGGTTCAGACCGCCCATCTTAGCAGCCATCGGCAGCCAAGCGCTTAACCACCGCTCCACCAGGGCTCCAATTCCAAAATGGGAAAACAACAACCCATCGCCGTGAAGTCAGGTTTCGACTCATACTAAAAAAACCCAAACCCGTTGCCGTGGAGTGGATTCCGACTCAGCGAGCGTATAGGACAGGGTAGAACTCTTATAGTGCCCTATAGGACAGGGTAGAACCGCCCCATAGTGTTTCCAAAGAAAGGCTGGTGGATTCGAACTGCCGACCCCTTGGTTAGCAGTCAAAGCTCGCTGTAGCTCTTAACCACTGCGCAACCAGATCCCCAAGACCAGGCAGGGGTTAATATGGAGACCACACCCAACCTCACTCCAGCTGCGGATGTGCCAAGGTGGCCCGGGAGAGGGGAGGGGCGGGCCCTAGACCCTTGCAACGGCGGGGCAGAGATGGGGGCGGGGTCTGCGCGGAGGGAGGGGCGGGGCCTGCACGGAGGGAGGGGTGGGGCTGCGCGGAAAGGTGAGACTGCAGAGGGAGAGGCGGGACCGAAGCGGGTGGGGGGTGAAGCTTGAGCGGCGGGGGGGGCGGAGCCAAAGCGGAGAGGTCAGATACAGAGAGAGGGGCGGGGCTGGCGCTAAGGGGGCGGGGCCCGGATGCGCCGAGAGGAGCGGACTGCGCAGGCGCTCTACTCCGGGAGGCGGAGGCGACGGCGCAGGAGGGAAAATGGAGGATTACCAGGCTGCTGAGGAGGTAACCAACCGCCCAGTCGGCGGCGGGAGGGTGGAGCC